GAGCACTGATTGGAATGTTATCGTCACTTCCTTGCCGTAGCGTTGTTCGTTATCGTCATTCACATTTCAGAGGATCACTTGACAGAACTTGTCCAATTGCGACAACTGAAGAGTTAACTGCTCTTTATGCCGTTGTTCAGTTGAGAATCGATGAGAATAAAAAGAGAGATGAATGCGCAAAGAAATTTGAATTGTGCTATGAGGTAAATTATAGCAGATCTTCGGCGATTCCAAAGCGTTATGCAACACAAGAGCCTCGAAATGATCCTGTACACCCAATCTATCGGTTGGACTACAGTCAAAGCACTCAGTGATGAATATGATTTTAAAGGAGGCAGATGGATTTTTATGCCGATACGCAACGAAAAGGATAAGGATGCAGATTGCCATAATCGATCTACAATTGCCAATCAGCTTATAGAATGTGGGATCATTCTTTTTTCCTCTCATCAATTATCCGTTTAAATGATTTCGGTAGTACGCGAATTCCATGCGACTCTAATCCCATGTCTCCAAAGCAGTGATGGGTGCGCTGCTAAAAAAAGAACAAGCTCCACTAATCACTAATTCGCTATAAAGATGATCTTGCTCCTCAAAAAATAATCCGCTATCATTTCTGCCGACAGAAAGTCAGCGCGGACTTTTCGCTACAACAGTATTTGATGACAATTAATCCGCTAATCGCTACTTTCAAATCATCCCTCAGAATGTGCAATTGCACCGCTTATTTGTCCGGGAAAATACCTCATTATGTCATCAAACAGTTGAAATTCTTATCGAATCATTCAACAACAGATAGTCATTCCAATAATAATAATATAAAGCCAGTAATAAAAACAAACTACAACAATGAAAAAATAACTAAACAACGACAGCAAAATTCAAAAATGAAAAGCCGTTAATTGTCTGCCCACACTGCACTTTCTGATTACCTTTTTAGAACATCAATATGCTGAGCACTGCATCTGAAATTGTGGATCCCTTGGGTCTTATCGTAGCACGTTGCTCAGTCCTCTTATGATGAAATCAGCGATCATCACCGCCATGCGTAGAAAAGTTTGTAAAGGGATCCGCGAAACTATCACCCTACCTTATTAAACTACCCAATTTCTTGTTTTGCCAAAAAAATAAATTACAACCAAACTGATGAAGTGTTTTACAATGAATAATCTGATTCCCCCTTTCCAATGTGGCTTTGGGATGGAATATCAATCTATTTCGATCGTATAAAACTGAGCATTTCATTTAGACAAATGGGGTTACATTGACATCATATATTTCTTCCTTTAAAACCGTCTGATTCCTTATCCTTACCCGAATTATCCTTAAAGTTACAAGCATATGGCATACGAGGTTGTCTGGCTAATTGAATCCGAGACTTTCTTACGAACTGTTTTCAATCAATTCAAATTACTGATTCATTCAGCTCGTCAGAACACATTAGCAGTGGTATTCCTCAATGTTTCGTTCCGGGAATACTTCTTTTTCTTATTCTTATCAAAGGTTTCCAGAGTGCCTTCTTCCAGACTCGATATGCTTCATTTTCGCAGATGACGTTAAGATTCTCACGTTCTTCAACAGTTTACAAACTCTATATAATTTCATAAACCAATAATTATTAGAGGCACTTTTCCCGCGTCTGTTTTGTTCATTGCACATTATCAGCAAAGTTTTGCTCTTCGTTTCGATCAGTTGATAGTTATAAAGTTGTTGAGGTGAAACTAATATAGGCTGAGATGAGAGATGGGAGGTATTATGGATGTATTGACAGGTATTACGGAGGTGCATACCGATGTTCATGCAAGTAATCTATGCGTTAAATTCGCTCACAAACCAGCAAATTACACGGCTAACTTCTACTGCTCGAAAGGCGGGAGTTAGTAAGTCAGAAACATTCTTATTATAAGCTCAGATTAACATTTAAGCCTTCTTTTGTGGCAAGTTTGCCGAATGTGGATATGTCGACGAGATAATCTATCGTAATCTTCAACTTCCGCGTCCAAATTGCACATTCTCGATTGTAAATGCTTATACAATATTCAATACGAAGGTGTTCACAGGGCCTGTTTGCGTCAAGGTTAAGTCTCAATTCCGGTTTTGTAATTTCTTGACACCAGGCGGATGTTTCGGCGATGCTGTTGCTCTCATCATTTCTACAAATCTGCTCAGCATTTTCGCGAATCCACTAAAAGTTTCACGAATGTCGCAGTCATGCTAAGTGTTAATATNGATAAGCGATACGTTTAGCAAATCAAGACACATTCAACGAAAAGTGCACACAACAAAATATCTCAAAAGAATTCGCAAACGATCCCTACAACTTTTCAAGAACCATTCATTGCAGACCATCTCATTCGGTGTTGTTGTCATATCCACATTTCAGAATGATGCTCAAGTTGATCACGTTCGAAAGTTTTTGTTAGAAATGGGTATACTACGACCGGATCTTATATACTATTTAAAGTACAAGGCGAAAATCTGTAGGTAAGGTTAATGCTACGAATGTTATGATGATTCTTGTGTTTCACAGGTGAGTGCTCTAGACTGAGTATGTGCTTTTAATGTCTAATTATTATTTGTTGAAGCTTAGCCCACTGAGGACCATTTTTCCGAAAATTTCACGTTGTTTTCATTCAGCTCTATCGTCATGATGAGGAAAATAAGCAGTGTGTTCAACGGTATTATAGTCAACGGTGTGTAATGAGAAATAGAAACGCTCTATATCTGGAAGCAGCACTAACACTTTGATTAAATTTTTCATTCAGTGTGTGTCACATAACGGGAAATGTGAACGTGAAGTTGCCCGATAGTGGTCAGTTACTCCGTTTTGATCCACACATTTACTACGCTGATCTCAAAATCGGTAAACACATCACGTTTTCCATTCTATGAATTGAACGAATCTCAGTTCCTATGCCTCACTCAGAGTGAAATAACGACAAATTTTCAAAGCTTAAGAAGTCTTGTATCTGATGGTAATTCGATAGGATCTGTAATAATCTCGCTTATTCGAAACAAAATCCGCCTTCCTTCCTCTTCTCATGAAGTAATTTTCTAAATACTGAAAAGCTTGGTTTTCCGTAAGTTTTTGCATTCACTGGTTAATTGTAGCGAAACACCCGTACAGATGCGGTTGCCATTGCAGTTCTCGACCAATTGAAAACAGATTAGCTCGCAGAAAGTGAAACGAGGAGTCAAATCAGCAAAGATCTATGGTTTTCATGCAATGTAATTTTCCATTTGTTTTGAAACTATCTTATCATATTGGGTCGCTTTCTTTAATCATTTTCGGGATGAAAGTAAAAACTTTACATTCATACATCGAAAAAACTATTTGGTAGTTACGGTGACAGTGATATATCACACTCATCAATGCGTTATTTCAACGTTCCATTTGCAATTTCATCCACATTTCCAGAATCGCATCTTCTACAACAACATCAATCGACACACAAAACTATTGGCAATGTTCAGTGATTGGATAATTTTTATGAAGAAGTGCGAATATATTTTAAACGAATTGTTCTCTGATTGAATGCAGCGAAAATTTTGTTGATTTTTTGGAGTTGTAAATGTGTATGTTTCTGCTCGTTAATGGAATGTATCATTAACAAGAGAGCAAAGCCGATGATATTGGTTAATGGATTTTGTTTGTTTGATCGTTTGTTTCATTTACGACGTTCAAAAATCACCTTCACCAATGTTCACGTCTTCGTAGTTATTCTCTCCTCACAGCCGTCAACTATTTAACCAACTTATTAAGGTTGAACGGATTGCTTATGAACATATGGATGCTATCACACATCGATAATGAGTGCAATCGAACGCTGATGATGATTTCTTTTCGGAGTTTCATTGATACGCAAAGACGTGTACTTATCAAATTAAGGACTGATCAATGGAATTCTCAATGAAGTTATTAATTGAGAAATGATTGATTTGCTCTTCGTTCTGCGCAAAAGGCAGTCTATATTTTAGGAATGCTTGTGTTCTGGTTCCAGAAATATCACAGTTGAGATTACGTGGCTTTTTAAGGATTGATCCATCTGTCGGATCAAAACGATAATTAATCGTTCCAAACATCAGTCCAGAAATGATTTGAGGTTGAAGGAGATGTGCCAACAAAAAATCATTGGTATCTGCAACTGCGGCGGGGCATGCACAGATGTGATGTGGGGCGGAGAAGCGGTGAACGCCGATAAAACACGGGCAACCGCTGGTACTTTGACATCCGGACCGTCATATCCTGGCTTTTCACCGTTCCCACCTGGAAAGTTTCTTGTTAGCCCCAAAACTAGCTGTTCAATTAGTAAGTAATCCGGACAAAGCACGTGATAATAATTCCTCTGAGTCCTCCCTCTTACCACCATCGAAATTGCTATCAATGAATTGGATTGTCATTGATATTATCAATTGTTATCAATTGAAATTGTTATCAACTGAATGTTATTATGTTATCAAACTGTTTTTGTTATCCGTATAAGCGAGTGCGCAAGGATGAATTCGAGTGGTTAATTGTTCGCGAGTTCGATTCTTGACAAAAACTGTCAG